TTCGTGACCAGAGTCGTGGAACGAATTAAGTTCGTGACCCAAGGTACCACTGTACTGTTACTTACTAATCAGGATGGCATGAACAGCAGCCCACTCAGTGCCTGATGCTGGGGAACAAAAGCAGGAGAGTAGTACTGTTTTCATGTCCTGCTTTGGAGCTCGTCCAGATGCCCACCATCTCAGCTTACAGTATAACCCCCCCCCCAGTTCCAAAAAACACTGGGTGCTATACAACATCCGAACAAAAAGAAACCATAATAAAACCTAAATCAAAATCAGTATCAAAAATCAACTCAGAATCAAATTCCAGATAGATGCCCACAGTCAATCAGTATTTAAGTTTCTTCTTTCTAATTGCCTGAAGAGAGCAGTCAGTCTACTTCCTCCATTTGAATGGTTCTTCTTGCTGTCCATAATACTGCTGGTAGTAATTATGAATTCAAATTCATAATTTGAAAGGATTTATCTTCTTTCTCTTGTTCTTTTTCAATGTTCAGCTTTCATAGAAATACACTCTACTGGAAAAAACATTGTTTAATTATACTGATCTTTGTTGTCATACACATATATTTATCTTTCATGATCTTATCTAAGTTGCTCATTGCTCCTAGAATTAATCTCCCCCTTACTTCTCCAGCACATTGTCCATCTGTTCTTGAGTTGAAGGAAATAAAACTGCCTACTATCTTCACTTCTTTCCATCAATTGTGAGTTCACTGAGCATGCTGGTCAGTGGACCTTACCTTTGATTTCTTAATATTTAACATTAACAAAGATTTTTTACTTCCTATTTTTATTTTCTTAATGAGGACTTTATTACAACTAACAAGTCTTAGTTGTAATATTTTCCATATTCTGGAATGATCTTAAGTCTTGCTGTAGTCAATAAAATAAAAGTAAACTTCTGTAAATTCTCTTGTTTTCTTCATTATTCATCTTGTCAACTATCTGATCTCATGTCCCTCTATCTTTTCTTAAACTTGCCTCTTTATTTGGCATTTCTGTCTCCATGTATGGCTCTATTCTTTGTCAGATCTTAAAACTTTGCTTGCATGAAGAACTAGTGCAATGGTTTGATAACTTGAACATTTTTTGCATCTCATGCATCAATGCATATACTGTACTTTCCAATCTCCAGACCACACAATCTTGTTCTACATTTGCTTACTTAGTTACTAGCTCTTTAGCACTGCCTTTTCTGTTGCAATTTTAAACAATTCAATGAGTATTTTGATGCTTTCCTATCTGATTGCTGGTCTATTTTCCTTCTTACCTCACTTTCTAGTAGTTCCTGAAATAGTTTATCTTTCATTGTTTAATCCCATTCATAATAGATTTCAAGATAGTATTCCCATCTTCCTTTAACTTCTTTTGCCTCTGTTAGATCTTGTCCAGGATTACTCTTGTCTTCTATTAGCTGTAAAATTTCCTGATTTCTCTGATCTTTTAAAAAAAACTTTTCTTGTTTTTCTTTTCTTGTTATTTTTCTCTATTTGTTGACCATCTTGGTTGATTTTCTTTCCTTATCCTTTCCTTCTTCATGATGAAAGACTGTATTTAGTTGTCATACATTCTTCTTGTTGGCCAAGGTTTATTTCTCCCTGGCTATTGTGATAACTTGCTCAGAAAACCACTTGGATTTTTTTATCTTTGATATTTTGGTAATATATTTTCGGCTTCAGTTTTCACAGTAATTCTTATCTTTCCCTATAGTTCCTCCAGTTCCCTTCTGAGTAAGTGCACTGAATCTATCCTCTAAAACCCAACTGGATCCATTAGGCACTTAGGGTTCACTGACAATAGGTCCAGTCTCCCTGTGGAGGTCAGGTGATAAGGGTCTGAAGGTAATTTCCTCCAGCTGCAGATCACATCACCACCACTGAGACAAGGACCAGGTCTAGTATGTGATGCCCCACCCCGTGTGGATCAGCTCAATAATAAGCTGGGTCAGGTCCATGGTGGCAGTTTCAAATGCCTCTAGACCATAAGCCTGGGGAATTTCACTGCCAACCGAGACCTGGTATTGAGCCACATGGGCAAGGAGGCTGCAGCACAGCAAGAAGGCTGGTAATTTTAACTTTGGTTTTCTAAGTTTAACCAATATATTTTACACCAATAATTCATAGCTTGTTCCACAGCCTGCACATGGAAGTATCCTATCTGACTGGATTGCACTTCCCCATCTTCTGTTTCCTATTATGTAGTTGATTTGATTCCAGTGGTGTTCATCCAGTGATGTCCAAGTATTAAGTCTGTATTATGTTGCTTGAAGCAAGTGTTAGCAATAAATAAATAATTTTCTTCACAAAATCCTATTAATGTTTTGCTCAATTATAACATTTACTTAATACAAATGGTTCTGTAATGTCAGGCTCTCCATTTCTTGAATGTTAGTATTCTAATTACCCTTTAACAGTACTATGTCTTTCTAAATGCTGAGTTTATACTTGCCAGAAACTTCTTTAAAGTCCTCCACATCTGCATTTATAGTTGAACTTACATTTGTGCAAGATTAATGTTTGCTTTTAATAGGTAGGATCCTGTCAATTATTGGGCGATAACCAAGCACACAATAACTTGTGACCTTTTTGAGTGTCATTGTCACTCCATTCTTCCCTAAGGTATCATGACCTGAATAATGTATCATGTAATTTTTAAAGAAGTGACTTCCAAACTTCATCACAAGAAGTATAAACAATTTTAGTGACACTTCACCCCCTCTACAATTGCAAGCATTTATCTCTTCATCCCATATCCTGTCTTTTATCTATAAACAAATCCATAAAGCATCATCTTTTCAATCCTGATGTCAACCGAAAGTCCATAAAGAGTTCCCAGAAGTAACAACATATCTTGCTTTAACCTTGACCAAATAAGCCATGTATCATGTAATTATCTGATTTAAAGTGATCCATTCTGGACCACCTATATCCACTTATTTTTAGAATATCCAATTTAGTATGCTTGATTTCCACTTTGACAAGTTGAAACTTTCATGCTTCAAGCTTCTCACATTCCATATTCCAATTGTATATAGAACTCCTTTTTCAATATTGGTACCATCAGTGACCAGACTGCCTTGTGCTTTGGCCTGGCCACGTAATTACTTCCAGGTCTACTCATGAAAGTTTGTATTTTTCTCTAGTAGCTAATTCAGAAAGTAAGGAAGATAACTTTGATGCAAATATGGAAGAACTGTTACCTAGGCAAAAGGGGCTGAATTATGTTTTAAGTCCTGAGAAATCAGATAATATTTGGAAGTGGCTTAGGCAGACTGATTCACTGAAGTATAAAAAAGAAGAAAAGGTACAGCACAATCAGATTTGCCAGATTCTGTTGTTACAGTATAGCCAGTCTTGATAAAGATAGATTTAGCCTTCCTGTGGAGTTGATTTCCTGGTTTGGTCTACCTAGTGGGGCTGACATTAAAGGAGTGCCTTTTAATCTAGAAGTTCTCATCTTCTGACACCCAATCATATTAACCGTGTGAGCCATGTCCATGCATTTTTTCTTGGCAATAACACAGGAGTGGTTTACTTTTGTCTTCTGATGTTGATTTTGGGGTTTCTTCCTTCAGGTGGGTTGACTTTCCTCACATCTACAGAACTTGACTTGCCTTTATTCTGTAATGGATTGCTTTTAGCTTCACCCTTTTGACCTTAACCAGCAAGGATGATCCTACCAGGATCTTATATTGCTGGCATCACTTTAAGGATCATTGAAGCTGCTGAGCTTTCTCAAAGCCTTCCATTACAGTCCTTCTATTACAGATAATCTAAGACCACATTACTTTCTAGAACAATATAAGAGACCTAATCAGCTTTGCTTGACATCGGGGAATTGCAATTAAATGGAAAAAATGTGGCGATTGCATTACATGTTGTATTTTTCTTCTGGTATTTTTTTTTAACTCATCCCAAATATTCATGATCCCTGTGTCACATGTTCAGAATCAAGTGAGATTACAGTTTTAAAATGGTTTAAACTAATGAGCTGGATAGGTTGTATTTATTTGTAAATGTGGGTCAATCCCAACATGTGAACAATATGCGCTTATGTGATCTGGTTTACAAAGCATGTTGTGTGGACTAGTCACAACAGTGTATTCCATGAACTGGATCCTGATTTAGTCTGCATCATTTAATCAAAATTAATGGAATTTAAGTGAGGCTTGACTAATTTAAGCCCAACCGACAATAAGAGTTTGTTTTTACTAAATCCTATTCCAGCTTCACATTTCATCAGAATATTCTCCTTGTTTGCTTTACATAAGGTAAACTTTTTGAATGGTTTTTTTTAAAAATGCTTTCGTAATGATTGCATAGATACTTTCTTCATAATTAACCAGGCACTGAATATTAAATACTAGTGCTATTCCTGTGTGTGGACTGGAATGAGAAAGGGGCTACAAAATCATTATCCATGCAGTCTTAGGGAACTATCCCAGAATGCAGCAGTTATAGTGATTCTATATTTATATGTGTTTAAATATTTAAAAAATATTTTATGTAGTGAAAAGGCCTTGGATAACTTTTGCTCTGAGCAGTCCCTGAATTGTTGAGAAAATTAGAAACATGGGAAGCGTAACGTTTGCTATGTGATCTTATTCTGTATGGTCTATATCAGTGGCATGATACCTGTGGTTTCCAATTGTTGGACTCTAATTTACATCATGACCTATGGCATATGGATAGGAGCTGGCATCCATCCGCACCAGGAGCCATAGTTTTCCATTCCTGGGGTGTACTGAATGGCCAGCACTCCTCCTGAAGATGCTGGAGACAAACTTGTGATCTTCTGCATGTAAAGTATAAGCCCAACTACTGAGTTAATATCTACCTTCATATATGCTCTCAGTGCTACCATCATCTGATTTTTTGCTGAGTTGCTGGTAGAGAGAAAGGTCCAATAAATTTTATTTTCCATTGATTTGTTCATTTGTTTTATTTTTCACCCATTCATTTATTCATTCCAATTTATATGGCCGTCCATTTCAAGTTCATGACTCTGGGTGGCTAACAGTGTTAAAAAATTATAAGCATAAGAAACAGAAACACACACATAAACAGAGCCATCGGTCACAAGTTAACATAACCAGTGCACGAGCTCAGACCCATCTTCTGACCTTGTGACAAAACCAGGTTTTTAAGTCCTTGTGAAAGGCCAACAGGGTCAGGGCCAATCTGATCTCCAGGGAATGATGTTCCAAAGGGCAGGCACCATGACAGAAAAGGCTCTCTTCCTGGACCCCACCAGATGGCATCCTTAGCAGGCAGAACCCAGAGCATGCCTCTTCTGCTGGAATTAATGGGACAGGTAAACATAACTGGGGAGAGGCAGACCCTCAAATTTACTATCTATTTGGGATTCTACCTTCCTGCATATACTTCCTAGATCAGGGGCCCTTCAGACAGTCAGTCATGCCCTGATCACCTCAAGGCTTGACTACCTCAATGTGCTCTATGGAAGCTTCAGTTGGTCCAGTATGCAGTGGTGCAGGCAATGGTTGGCATGCCTGAGTATGCCCATATAATACTTCTGCTGCAACTGACAACTGGTTGCCAATTTGCTTCCAAGTATGATTCAAGGTGCTGATCACTACCTATAAAGCCCTACATGGCATAGGGCCTGGTTACTTGAGGGACCACCTGTCTCCCATAGTATTTTCATTGGTGCACTCTGGGTTCCTTTGATTAAACAATGGCATCTATCAGGACCTCAGAAGTGTGTCTTCTCTGTAGCAACATTTGCCCTCTGGAATGGGGTTCCCCCAGAGATTCAGACAGCCCCCTCCCTGGTATTTTGAAGGGCCCTGAGGATGTAGCTCTTCTCCCAGGCCTTTGGCAAGGGTGATCGACACCCCTTTTCTTTTTCTTTGTTCCCATCTGGGTTTGCTTTCTCTGCCATCTTGTTCTTTTTGTTTTGTGGTATTTTTGTGTTTTTTTGTGTTGTTTCCTTGTTTTTAAATGTTTTTAACAATTTGTAAGCCACCGAGAGTCACTGGGAGTTGGGCAGCATATAAATTTAATAAATTATTATATTTGATGTATATATTTGTTTTCTGCAAATCCATAATTTCCAGGGTTTTTTTCCCCTCTCTAGAAAGGACAGTGAGTTCAGTGTTGCTTTGGCAATAACAGGCCCACTTTGATCTTGAAAATGAACAGGGAAGTTTGAAAAAAAAATCATAGAAGACAGCAATGCTGAACCACTTCCTCTAGTTGTCAAGGGTGGTTAGGAAGTCATCAGGAGTCAAGTTTGACTTGAAGGAGATTTGAATTTAATTTTGCATATTACTTTTAGAAGACCCAACAGTTTCACATCTGAGAACTTTAAGAATATTTGTGGGATGCTGTCTGCCTGGATAATTAATTTGTAATTTGTCAATTAGTATAAATTCTATTTATATTCCATTTGATTTAATTATTCAGTGCTTAAGCTGTTACATCTTCATAGCCTTTGTCCCTACAATTTCACAATCTTCTTTATTCCTTCTCATATATGAGCATAGTCTTCCTAAAATTTACTCAAAAGGCTCTTGACATGTGAATCTCTCAAGGATCTGCATGCCTGCTCATGTGACTTCAGCAAGAAACAATAGATGTAGGGGGGGTTTTCTTGCTGGGAGAAAGAAATCCCATAGGCCAGCTCTATAGCTGTTACAAATTTCTCCCCAGGGTTTGGAAAGCATTAAATCCAGAGAAGCTGTGGTTTCTTTCCCAGCATGCTTAATTTCAATTCTCTCTAATGTTGGATTAGAATGAACATGACTTAGAAGCTCTGGATGAGCTAGAAGAGGTTTTCTGATGTTGGATTTTCCCCTTTAGAGCAGAATTTCTTTCTCTGTAAACTTTGAGGTGAAATCTGAAAAAAACTAATGGTCTCTGAGGCACATTCCCATGAACAATAGTATTGCATGAAGGCAGGCACCCTTGAATCTTTCCTGGTGGTATTTCCTGATGGATTCCCATGCAATTATTAACCAGATCCCACCCTGCTTAGCTTTTCAAAATCAACCGAAGTTGGCTAGGCACTGCCATCTAGTTGGATATTATATTGCATACTGCAAGGCAATTTTATGACATTGGCTCCAGATTTAGGCATACTTAGACTAGACTCATTGGACTCAGTAGGACGTAAGTTAATCATTAATAATTTAGAAGTCATTGATTTTAATGGATCTACTCTAAGTATGACTAACTCTAAATGGAAAAAACTCCATGACTAAATCGGGAACCATCTCTTTGTCTTTGCGTCATTAGCAATTTGCTTCTCAAATTCATTATTTGTTTGCTGAATTGTCAATATATATTGGCTTTATGTCTTTTTTTTCTTCAAACCCATTTAGTCAAGGCTCTCTCCCTTTTAAATAAACCTTATTTATTTTTATAGATTTCTTGACTTAGCTATCAGCATTCTATTTATCCCTCTCCCAGCTGATCTTTATCTTCCTTAACTATCTGAATTTCTTTTCCCATTTTAGGTGGATGACAGCTCTTTATCAGAGCACAGCGTCACTCAGGTAAGACTACTTGAATCATCTGAAGTTTGGCTTCTGCAGAGAGACGTTGCTTTCTCATATGTGGTCTGGGTTGGATGGCTTAGCCAGATAAGTGGAATCTGCAGCAAAATGTTGCTACATGAATAATGTTCTCTGGAACTCAGCCCGCAAACCATGCCTTTTAAAAAGATACTGTGTTCCATTCTCATTTGTGGGTACCAAATATTCCATCCTTAGAGCTCATTGTCATAAAAAATATGTGGTTCTGCAAAACATGAGACACCCAGAAGCCTGTTAATACTTCCATTTGGTGCATGGACGATGCTGATTTAGCTTTGTAAAGAATGAAGCCACGTTTGAATAACCAGTTGTCTATTCGGATATATACCCTTTGTCATTTTTCTATGAACCCCATTACAAATATTGTTTGCCTTTATAACATATATTTGAAAATCTGCAAGTGAAAAAAAAAGGGGAAATAATCAGAGAAATGAGGTCAGTTTCCTTGCTTTCATCCTTGTAAAAATTATGAAATCAGGATTCTAATGCATATATTTGCATACTGCCTGCATTTATTAAATTAAATATACCTGAGCATGTGTTCAAACAGTACTATAAGATACCAAACACAAAGCCAAATATCACCCTTTTTCCTGTTGCTGCAAGTTGGCTATCTGTAAAGAGAGCGCATTCTACCAGATTTAGAAATATGTTTTGTATACATATCTGCACACACATGTACATCATATTTCTCACCTTCCCACGTTACAAACTGTTAATCCTGGTGCTATGCTTTGCTCATTCCAGGAGTCCAAAAAGTTCTAAAAGGGCATTAGCCTAGAAGAAGCGAGTGAATCTCAGTACTGTGTTAGGTAAAAAAGTAAGGATTCCTTTAAGTTGAGCTCGGCCTCAGGAACTGACAAGGGCAGTCCATGTTGTTTTCTTGACAGTGTCATTTGCCATTGCTTTCTTTTGGGATCCTTTTCAACCAGTTCATCCAACAGCCCACAGATTTCCTGATGGTCTCCTATCCAAATACTAACCAGGTCTAATCCTGCTTATCTTTTTAAATTATCAGTGATATTTTTCATGGTAAAATAAAGCCTTAGTCAGGACGGGTCAAATTTCTTACATCCCCTTGTGCTTATTTCACCCACATATTATTAATTTCTTTGTAGCTGCTTGTTTCTCTGACCTGCAGCATTGGTGCAAAATAGCCAGGGATTGGGCAGGGAGTGCAGTGCTATTCAGTTATTATAGAGGAAATAGATTTGACAACATCATGAAGCCTAATCAAAATGATAACAGGAAAGATCACTGTCACTCTGAATAGGCATCCTGGTATTCATAAGCATCCAGGACAAATTGCAATGGTGCAAAAATGATAGGTGTCTCATGGTGTAACAATGCAAACCATGTGACTTTCATACTTGCATCCTGACATTGCACACTACCTAAGTCACATGGTTCACAATGTTGTGATAATGTTTCTTCATTGGCTCCTCTTGCCACTCTCTGGATGTCCATGTTGGCAGTCCACGTAATTAATCAGACTTTGGAACTGGTGATGTCACAAAGCCAAATCAAAGAAAAGTCAATGTTTCCTGCCATCCATGACTGAGATAATATTTTTTCTGTTTTATAGTCTCTTCTGAATGAATGCCAAAATTAGGTGGGGGGGGATACATTATGGTGGACAAACATTTTCTTGCAGTATGTATAACTACAATTTCAGCTCAGCTGCAGACAATATGTTGATACAGATTTTGTATCTATTAATCATCATTAAACTGTAGTTTGATAAAATAGTAAAATTTTCTGTTTAAGAATCACAGCTTTCTTCATAAAACTACATTTCCCAGAACTCATCGGGAAGAGGGAGTGAAACATTAAACCAGTTTAAATCTGAATTAGCACACTGTGGTGCAATTTTAGTCTTAAGCAACTGCAGTCAGCAGTCCTCCTAAGTGAGACTATTAGTTGCCTAGCAACTGCATTTTGTCTAGGCCCAACAAAATGGTTTCGGAAAAACGGGTTGTGGGGGGCAATATCTTTTGCTGATATTGGGAGAACTAAAAACAATTTCAAATGTGTGGGGTTGATGAAACCTGGTTCTAGGTACAGTACAGTTCGTTTAATTCTGAGTATGATTGATAACAAGCAACTCACCATTGGTCCAATCCAGACAAAATTAAGCACTTTGAAAATGTTTAATTTCCCTGAAAGAATGCTCAGCATTATCAGTTCTGCAGAAATCAAGAGATTATGGTGATTTAAAATTAATTTGGATTACATCCAGTTAAGAATTCCTCCAGTGTCATTTTTAGATGTATAGTGATTTTTTTCAGTGCTGTTTGGTTCCAGCAGACAATATATATAGACTATTAAAGCTAGATTTGTTTTCTAAGCTTTTAGGGGTAGATTCAGTATTTTTAATTAGCAGATTTCTTTATTTTATTTTATTTTATTTTATTTT